AAATAGGTGAACAAATAGTATGTTAACTAGAAAGCGACATTGTTGTGCATTTATAACATGGAAAACTGTCAAAATCTTATTTGGCAAGTTTTTATTTGCTTTCAAACAAAATAAAAGAATGTGTGGAACTGAACAGAAAAACGAATATATGGCTTTCGTAGTTCTATTGACGAGTAAACAATAAATCATGAAAATTCTCGTTTTTACTTCTGTCTTATTATAGGAAACATATTCCATCTTATTCAGTTAGTAATTATCAGCAATGGATTTTTTCAGGCTTTAGCTTAGACTCATCCTGACGTACATTAGATTTTTTGTACCTAACCATCAGTTTTTTAACAATCTGTCACCAATGGTCTGTAAATTTTGTGTGTCTGTTGAGCTGAAATGAAGTTTATAGATTAAATATTTAAGTTATAAATTTCTTTATTTCATAGAAAGGCCATTTTCCTGTTGATTGTTTTTACTAGGTTTGCTAGTAAGGGTATTTAAAATATAACTTAGTACGAATATAACTGTGTTTTATAGTAATTATCATACAAAAGCTATGAGAGATTTTAGCTTCACCATAGGTTAAATGATATTACGTTGTTCCCTTGACTGGATTAATAACTTCAAGTAGAAACTATCAGTTTAGTAGATTTTTTATAACTTGGTTTACTAATCTGTGTCTTTAAAAATTATTGATCATAATTATTCACATGATCTGTTGAAGCCTGATACAACAATCAGTTCTCTTTCTGAACTGAGTTATTATATCGTTTTTAGTAAAAGATATTATTAAGTTTGAATTACTGAATATAGTTTATAGTCAAACAGATAATCGTCAGCTCGTTTAGCAAGTTGTTAACGTGAGATATTAGAATTTTTCTCAGTGCTTTCATGTTTTCATGCTCGCTCGGAGAGTTGGTAATCCTGGATATGCCTAGGTTAGTGCCCACCTATTAATGAGGTATTTCAGACGACAAAATAACTGTTGATTGTTTCGATTCTTCCAACGGTTTTTAGTTGATTTAAGCTTTCAAAGGACACCGTCTTCAGTTTGAACAACTTGAATTCATAGTCTAAACATTTGATTCGTGATAATTAGCTCAATTGGATAATCACAGTCTAGTATCATCTGGAAAACTCACGCAGTCCCAGACTAGGAAAAAAAACAGTTCTCCGATCTTTTCTGGTTCACAACGATCATCCAAATTACGTTGATCCTTTATGAAAACAGTCTGTTAAGTAAGTTGATTACTGGCAACAATAAGACTTCCTTTAGATTGTTTATTAAACCTAAAAATATTGTGGTTGTTTACAAAAACAGTAACCAAAATGAGACTTTCTGAGGGCTTACCTTATGATACAAACAGCTACAAACTCAAAGACATCATGCAGATCGTACTATCCACGTGATTTGAAACCTAACGTTTTACCAACTTAAGTACTTTAATGGAGATTTTAGCACTAACAATCAACTAGGATTAGGAAATTATGATTGTAACTGAACATATAAATTGCCAAAAATCGGCAAGTCTCTAGTAGTCACCATGGTATCCAAGAAACCTTTAGTTATCCTGATCTTGTATGACCTAATGACTGTATGGTGGTGAGTATCCCAAACAAGAATGAAACAAGTGAATAGATCTCTTTAGCTTTATCGGTTCTTTAAGTCATATAAATCCAAAATAAAAATCATGTTTAATTTAGAAATAACTATTTTATAACTAACTTCTCCTGTAGCACTTCTAGGGTTACTAAAGGTCCCGAACCCAGGTAAAGGAGGAGGGTTGGGCATGGGGTCAACAACCCCGTCCCGTAGAAAACAACTTTGCTAAAAAAAACGCTAACCAGAATATACATATTAAAACACTTAAACTCTGCCCTCCGAGTTGAAAAAAGAATTATGACGCTTCATATTGAAAGCCAAGATCATTCAGAAGTAACGAGGCGGATGCCCTCCATAACAACCAGTGAAACAATTAATGTACGTACGCGGAATTTTCTGACAATGTAGGAGACCGGGAGAACCAGTGAAGTAGCTATGAAAATGAGGAGATACAACCAAACGGTGCTCGAAGTCAGTGAAACCCATTGAACTCAAACTGGATAGCAGAGGCCAGATATGTCAGAAATGCTGCTATAATCCAGTCACGAAGACGAACATGCTCCACACACTTAGGAACTTGCTCTGATGCCGCCCAAAGAATCACGAAATGCTCTTATAGGATGCGAATATCATAAATCTTGGATCATTAAAGTATTATTCAAAACAAATTTGGAGGAAATGGCAATGAATTGTATCCAGTGTTATACACCAACCAATGACAGAAATGATGAGGATGAAGATCAGTTTTGCGAGAGGCTGCAGTCAATCATAGTGAAGTGCTTGGGAAAAGACCTGGCCATCCTGATAGGAGACCTAAACGCCAAAGCCGGAATGAACAACAAGGGTTATGAAGATATCACGGGACGACGTGGACTGTGAGAACGGAAGAAAAATTATTAGATCACCACCTGGTGTTCGCTAAGACGAAACCGAAGCCAACAAATAAGGACTAAACAACTGGAGAAACAACAGCACAAAGGTTCAATACAGCCTTCCTTCAAGATACTAACAAAATAAACAAATTCAAGATAGCTCACAACATCAGGTTCCAAGAGTTCCAGGATCTACTTAAAGAAGAAGAAACTACTATGGAGGACGACTGGTAAAGGGCCAAAGAGGCACTACGTTCAACGTCTCACGAGCTTCTGGATCACAAGAAGCACCATCATAAGGAATGCATCTCTATCGGAACTCTTCACAAGATTAAAGAATGGAAGAACAAGAAGACATCAGTCAACAATAGCCGAACAAGTACAGAGGAAGTCTGGGCACAAGCTGAGGATACAGAAGCAAAATAGCAAGTGAAGAAGAGTATTAGAGATGACAAGTAGAAATATGTGGAGGACCTAGCAGCGACAGTGGAAAAGTCTGCAAAAGAAGGGAATATGAGACAGCTAAATGACAAAAAGAAGAAACTGCCAAGGAAATACAGCAAACCACCGGACAAAACAAGAAAGGCAAGACAATCACCGAGATTCATAAAGAGAGGAAAAGATAGGTAGATTACTTCGAAGAACTCTTGGAATCAGTATGGTCATCAGACAAACCAAGAGTGGGAAATCAGCAAGACCTGACAATATACCAGCTGAAGCACTAAAGTCAGATATGAAGTAACTGCAAACATGATTTACACTCTATTCAGGAAGATTGGGAGGAAGAATAGGTAACAATGGCCTGGAAAGAAGGACACCTCATCAAGATACCAAAGAAAGGAGATTTGAGCGAGTGTGAGAACTATAGAAGCATCACACTACCATCGGCACAATTAAAGATCTTCAATGATGTTGCTGAATTGGATGAATGATTTAGTAAACGTCCAATTTCGAGATCAACGGGCTGGACTCCGTGAGGATTGATTGTGCGCAGACCGAATCGTGGTAGTACTACCGATAAACCTTTTTTCATATTAACAGCATGGCTCCAGAAAACGTCTCTCTTGTATAACTGACCTGACTGCGGTTGACAGATGAACAACCATCCCTGATCGCACGGGAAAGGTTGATGTTACATACCTTGACTTCTCAAAAGCTTTTGATAGTGTTAACTATACATGCCTTATCAATAAGCTCAAACGATTAGGTGTTAAGTTAGCTTTAATATATTGGCTTCCTTCACATCCAAATTACCAACTTCTTAGGGTCAGAGTAAACTTAACTTTCATCAGGCTACGTAATGTTCATGTGGGGTCCCTTAAGGTTTACCACTAGTATATTTTATTTACTTAATTAACACAAACAATCTTCCTCAGCAGGTATCGTCTGATCTGTTATTTTTTCACCGATGATGTGAAACTTCGGAGAGAAGTTTGCGAGCAAGATGATAAGCTGGCACTTCAGGAGGATCTGGTTCGACTTTAATAGCGGGCAGATAACAACGAACTTTTAGCACTCCAAAGTGTAAAATAGTTCGAGACATGTCACGGACCGCGTATACGATTTAGGCAGCTACCTTCTAGAGTTATCTCAAGTTAAAAGGATCTAAGGGTCTTGGTACCACACTTTCCAAAGTCTTACGCTAATTGCGACAAAAATACTATTCGAGCAAACCTTGCACTGGTAACGCTGAAGCACATTTTGACTAGTTTAACGGTAAAATGTCCCCTTAACCTTCAACATCTTTATTCAGCCTCCTTTACAGTATGGAAATATAGTGTTTCTTCCATCCATCAAAAAGGATAAGGATGCAGTAGGAAATATCCAACGGCGAGAAGTGAAACCAGTTCTGGGACTCAAATTCGAGCCTTATACAGAGAGCCTTAAATCATTGAATCTTTGCTCATTACAATATAAGAGTCCCAGAGGTAACCTTTCAACGACGTACGAAAACCTTGACACTCTTTGTTATCCCCTCAAATATTCAATTAAGCCCAGTCCCAACAGAAAACTTAGATATAACACCCAGAAATCAGCGACATTACATAGCAGAACGGACTGTAGGAATATGTTGATTAAAAATATTCAGGTTACTGTAATAACTAGTAATTCCTGAAATATTACAGCAGTTAGTAATAGATGGGCACAAATGAACGTATTACACTTGGAATTCGTAATCAGCGGACTATCCTGTACAGAAGAACCATAGGATCATGGAAACACCGCAAGAAGCACTTTCTATTCCTTAAGAGCAGTCAAATTCCTGAATTTTATGCCTGCTAGTGCGGTCCAAGTGACTTCACAGGAGTTATTTAGGAGAAAACTTGACATATTTATAAGGACAAAGCATATTATCTCAATACTATCTACTAATATTTCCCTCTCTTATCATTAAACATACCTAGGTTCCTACTAAGCGGCATCGATGATCGACCAAAATTAAATATGAAAGGCCATTAGGCGAAAGTTTATTCTATTCTATCCAAAACCTTTTGTATATGTGAACCACATCGGAGAGTTTTCTCAAGGCGCCTGGTTCAACTGTGACCTCGAAGCTCAAGGTAGTTCACTAGGCTTCGCTTATACCCGTCCTGTTTTTCCGCCGTGCAGACTACTTATTCTGAGTCAAAAAACTGACAACATCGGTTGCTGATCGGATATCCGCTGGTTGAGCACAACTTAGTTTATACAAATTCGACTATCTTAAGGTTAGATTCATTTGAATAATATTGTTTAGATCACTTTCTAATGAATAATCCAATTGAACCGTGCGAATCTGTTGCAATTAATGACACGTCCACCTTGCAAAACACCGTCAAAGATTTATGTCACAGGGTTTGTTCCCTTTCTCACTAATTTTCGTGAAATAGCTAGAGAAAAACCCTTTCGATTATAATGCACACGTACAACTCATCGAGTGTCTACGAAAAATAGGCGATTTCAAGAGACTCAAAACTTCGCGTGAGCGTATGCACGAAACCTATCCACTTACTCCAGGTAATTTAAATATTGTGAAAGTGTTTCCTGACTGTTTGTTAAGTGTTGTCTTTGGCTTATACAACCTGTCTAGTTTATTTTAGCCATATAATATCGGTACGATGCTGAATTTTGTGGGTCTCCATAAGTGTCGCAGCAAAACATAACACTTTCAGTCCCAGTAAGGAAACAAATCAGAAAAGTCTGTGCTTTCTTTGGAATAAGAATTTACCAATCCTACGTTTTGAATATATTTAATAGACGAGATTTAATAATTTATCGAAACTTGAATTCCTCCCGGTAATTCTTTGATGGGGTTCGTAGTAGTTGTTTCGATGTTTGTGAACGTTTAATCAGTGTCCATTTAATTTGGAAGATGAGAGTGGGGAATGTTTCGGTCAGCCTTATTACTTAGTAATCTGGTTTGTTTGGTCTAGCTTGGATAGTCTTCCAACAGTCTGAGGAATCAACGATAACACCATTCGGTCACCTTCACTGAATAGCGAAATGTAATCGAGAATTGTGACAACTTCCTTACCATTTGTTTATGTAGTGTCTAATAACGATGAGTTCGAGTATTATTCCGTGGACTCTTTTACATGTATGACATCACATGACGTCATTGTCGACCATATTTTACTTCAGAAAGTTATCTAATGGTCCTGTCATTGGATTTCTCCGGTCTATTATGAATGCATAAGTTCCCTAAGATTAGACTTGCCGATAGGAGACTGAGTACTACACTTACCTAGCATTATATTACTTGTTTGAATCTGAGCTGCCGTAAACACGACTGACCAGCAACTCTTATTTTCCATATTTCAGGTTTAAATAATAGCGATTCTATACAGTGATTCATGTTTACATAGAAAAACAAGTTATTGCCAAAGCCCCATCATCTAAATATTTTCTGTCACAAGGCATATTTTCTGCAGCTTGAAGCCGAAATTAGACAACTTCAGCCACCTGACTTTTAGACAGCAATTGAAAAGTGTTTAAGTATATACACCTTAGACTCTAGCTTGTGATCACTTTATTATTAAGTTATTTTCCTTCCTGAAGATTAGACAATGTTACTGAATAGGGCGTTTAAGTTCAGTGTGCGGGTCCGCAGCTTCTTAAAATTTAAGGAAAGTTAATTTTACGGTAGCTCTTTGAGTGGGTCTACATTATCCCGAATGAAATTTTTAAACTATGAGTCATTATTCTTGAGTTTGTGGCAAATGACCAATGTGTTAGTTGTTTAAACTTCGAGCTTTTAACTATATCTGGCGAAATTCTCTTTTCAGTCAATTGTATGCCAGTTCTGCTTCTAGGACCTGACATACCTTTCTGGCTAATATCGTCAGATTATTTCTGGCTACTGCTTAAGTTGTTTAGTACTCAAGAAACTCGTTTTGCGGCTTTCCGATTGTTACTTATTTGTCTTTGACTCATTTGGAGGATTCGACACTTGCTTGTCCCTCATCTCTACGTTTACATATGGCAATCGCGCTTCGATTGATTTACTGTCGTTGCTGACTTCCTGCTTGTTTGTATCAACAAAATCCTTCTTGTAACTGTGACTTATAAATACATCTACAGTTGGCATTGCTGCTGAGTAGACTATGATTGTTTAAACGGCACTGCTCAACAGTTATGTGGACCTCGGTCAGGTGTACAATTTATTTTACAGGCATAAAGTTTGTTCAAACATCGTGAATCCAACCTTTGGATTCATCACATGTCGTTCCTCGCTGGTTAGCGACGATCCACGTCAACGGTTTATTTTTGGAAACTTCAAGAAGTTCTCAGATAATATCTCAAAAACTTGTTACACAATGGTGCGAAATTAACCAAAAATTTATCTTACCCATTAAAGGAGTACGAGTGCCACCAAATGCCCTGGTACGGCCGAGAGTGGGGGGAACCCGCTCTCCCTCTCGAAATGCTCTCACATGGCCACGCGTATGAAGCCTCTGCCAGGGAAGTCCTACTCACTGCCTTCACGTGGCCGGGGTGTTGTTTACACAAATAAGAGGATGAAAAGCGAATGTCCGGCGCTTTAACTGGATTCCAAACCAATGGTGCGCATGGGCTCCAGTATCCTGAAGGAACAAATGGGGTATGAACCAACTTTTGGTCACCGGCTTCCGTGGGACTGTATCTCCTTACGACGCTCCACTGCCTTGTGGATCAGACCTTCAGGTCGAAGGCTCGGGGTGTGGCCTCCTAAGAAAACCACCTGCTTCGGTTTGGGCACCCAGGCAGTATCACAGCCCTCACACATATCGAATAAGATTTGTGTGGCGTATATGTATTTGGTGCCTCCTTGTACCAATATCTGTGTTAAAATAAAATAAAAAGGAGTACAAGTATAAACTATTTCAAATACTCTCCTTGATACCCTTATTTCATCTAAATAAAGCGAAACAGTAGCTTCGATGTTAAATTTATCATAAGTAAGAATTTTACTTAACGAGAATAAATGCAATTGATTTTTAGATAGTCCACACTTCATTGATGCGATATAGCTAAAGTGTATCATAACTCATGAACTTTGCTTCTTATTTAAGTGCTGTGATGGTGGTTGCACCGGATTTTTGTTTTAAAGCAGACTTACTACAAACTTTTGTCGTGATCTGTGGTTTATGAACTAATCCATTTTATGGCATCTGGTTACAATTCAATAAGCTTGCCTTGTTTAATCACTAGATTTCACCCATACTATTACTTAAATTTTCTAGCTTCAACTTGTAACAAGTGATTGTGTTGCCTTTAATCTATATTTTTACCTATCTTTTCCAGCACTGTGGCTTCAATGGATCGAGGATGAGCTTAATAATGCTTCTACACTTGAAGAAAAGCGACGAGTGGAAATTCTTTTTAAACGTGCGATTGATGATTATGAAGGTCAGAAGCTAGGTGTACCTTTCATACTTTTGATATTACTCCTGCCTTTCTAATCATGTTCTGATTCTTTCAGTATTGCTTCAACTTTGATGAACGTTTAAAGTGAAGACTTTTAAGGTTTATAAATTATAGCATCTAAAGTAAAAAGAAGAAACTGTGGTATCGCACCGAAACGGAAGTTAATAGTTAAATGATGTTTATCGATTTGTCAGATTTACAAGTGGATACAACTGATGTGAAGCACTTTTAGAATAATTACAATTGATTTTGCAAACCTTTCTAAAACTGCTAATGTGCATTAGTTTGACTTGTAGCAGCAAGCTTCAAATGAACAACTAATCTGACTATATTTTGAGTGTGAATATGGTACTTGTCAAGGTATTTTTCCGAGTGCATTCATAATGTATGAAGTTTACGAAAGTATTCTGTTCTATGGCAGTAGGTATCTGTTAGTGTGCTCAGTGATTACTCATTTTTGACTGAAGGTTAAAGTCCAAGACCATCACTTTATTGTGTTAGTGGGAACTCCTCGCACTCAAAATCGAATTTTTGTAGTGTATAATGTCTTCAGTTTGGTTTATTTCGTGACTAAGACAACAGAACCCTGAATTGGATTTTTACTGCAACTTCTGTCGGTCTCCGAATTCGAACTTCAAAGGGATAGCAACATTCACCTGTCCAAGTTATCTAAATTCTTTATATTGTATTGTAAAAAAACGTTGTAATAGTAAAATGAAGCATATATGCAAACAGATAATAAATAACGATCATTTATAAAAAGATAGAAATCGGTATCTATTTGTGTTGATATGATTTATTATAAACCATATGCTCTAGCGAATTCCGCAACTAGTTTTGATTATTGGACTGCCAGAGTTTCGAAATTCTCTTTATAAATTAAACCAATCACTGACTACTTTTAAGATTCCTATTACTTCTCGATGTAGTCACTTTTAATCCTTACTATTCCTACTATAACCTATAGTTCCGCTACTTATTGACCCCCGCCCATGCGGCATATATTTCATTCACCAATCGGACTTCTAACTGTGTCGTAGATTCCATTGTCAGGTACTACTCGAATATATAACCAGTGTAAGTACATGCAGTATCGAGAAATCTACAAGCTAACAAAAACTATCTTTTAGTTCTTAAGTACCCACGATAGAAAATTACAAGGAAAATCGCAATAAAAATTATTGTCACTAGGGTGATCTAAAGTTTTTCAACTTGTTCTTTTCTTTTTAGTTTTGCAAGGGGTTGCTGACTCCCAATATTCCTGTTGCGCCATGCTCACTAAAAGCAAGTGCTTGAGGAGAGTAAAATAACCTGTTCACTCAAATGAAATGCTAGTATTCCAGCGAACCTCAGCCTAATAAATATTTTAGCTTATATATAGTCAGATGTTCCATCATGTTTTTGTAGGGAATCTAATTCAAAAAATAGTATGGAAAGTATATAACTTCACTGTAAATAACAATAGAAAATTTGATTTCCTTTTCTTATAGATATCAATGTATGGTTGGAATACTGTCACTTCGCAATCTCTACTTCGGATTTTAGTTCTGCGGATAGTATAAAGCAAGCGGAAGTCATTTTTGAATCTGCTTTGTCACATCAAGGACTTAATGTTGTTGGGGGTTCGATGCTATGGGAGATCTATCGTGAATATCTCACTGTAGTGTGGTCTCAGCTACCACAAGATCATAAGGTTAGGAATATCTGTTTGCTTCATGAAAAATGTAACAGTTTATTTTTCTTATCACCTTTTGACCTTTGAGTATTTCACACTGTGGCACATCTTTATTATTCACGAGTCCTCCTCATATGTTCAAATAACCTATTATTTTGTCTATAACTTCCATGTAATCTGATGTATAGTTCTCTCTTCTCAACATAATTGTTGAACGTGATCAACCTAAAGCCATTTACTGCTTATTAAACAGGAATCATTAAAATTGAAGCAATTTCAGTGCTTACATACTTCTTAGGTTATCTTGCAATATAGTCTAAGAACACAATTTGTTTATGATCTAATATTTCCTTGTTAGGCTGCCTAGTGTATTTGTAAATTAATTCTTTGTCAGTGTGTAAAAATAATGCGTCACAAAATAATTAAGTTAAATAGAATTTTAGAAAACCCGTAAAAATTTATCGTCGTATAAATCATAAGCGCTGCTGTCAAGAGTAATGCAAATTTTTAACTGCTACCGGTTGATTTTACATTTATTAAGGCTTATTTTCCGATTAGATGTTTGTGTGCTTTGTTCTAAGCCACTTTTTGTGTAATGAGTATTGGTACTTTCCTGCTGCTGATAGCCGTTTACCGAGTACCGATTTGCATATCAGTAAAGTGGTCCGTACGTTTGTCAACCTCAATCTGCTGGACGAAAGTACTAGTGAATGGGAATCAGCCAGTCACAGTTCCCCTTACTCCTCATCTTTATCTAATAGAATAGTACAGCATTAAAATTAACTGTCAGGTTTTAAATCAAATGGTTGAGTGCGTTTGTGATTGTTAAAATTGACATTAGAGTAACAATGTATTAATCCTTCATTCTGTAGGTTTTCATAATAAACCTTTGGTTGGTCATTCCAAACAAAACTGACGATATTACTACTTTGGTTTGAGCGACTGCGTACTATAATTAGCTTTCATACTGAAGTATCTAGTGAATTAGTCAATTTAATTAAAAATATGATTCGCAATTGGTTTTTTATATTTGGAGTGGGAAACAATTTATTATTTTTTTTGTTTAATTAGGAAATGAAACTAGAACAACTGAATAAAATGGACCGTCTATTTCAGCGTCAACTCAGCATTCCACATTTGAGTAAGCTATTTCTAAACGAATCTTCCAATCACCTTTACATTTCTCCCAACTGTGATTTTGAATCCAGGACCTTTGGTCTCTCGTGCGAAAGCTTAACACATAAACCACTGAGCCGGCATCCGATAGTGTTAATGTTTAACTTCAACCAATCCGCGATGTCGCACTACCATCTTCAATTGTCTTCGGTGGGTAACTGCCCCATGCCTGACACGGTTGAACATTGATCGGCTCGTGAATTTAATGAAATTCAGCATTCTCCACAATCCAAAACTAAAAATCTAAACAACTATCGCGGCCATCTTGTTGTACCTAACTAATCCTATCAATAGGTACTGTTAATTAATAAACAAAATACACCATTCTGCGTTTCTCCGCTTGTCCATTATGCTGCAAACATGAGCATTTGGTTCCTCGTAACAATAGGTTAGGAGCTAATTGTTCAACGATTTCGATAACCTTTAAACTGCAACTCAGGTTTCACAGTCGAACTGCTTTCGAAATTCCACTTTGATGAAGATTGAACTAGTATTTCTGTTTATTTTCCGGTGTATACTCTACTGCAGATCTGGATACTTATTTAAATATTCAGCAACATCATTGAAACTATTTCGAATTGAACAGCCAGTTGTTGAATTCATTCTGTTACACATACCAGAAAAATAGTCGAACTCTACCGGTGTAAGACAAGGCCTATATTCATGAAGTTATTGTTTACTCTTGGGATCCCTATGGGAGGAAAAGTGTGCATCATTTGGTGATCGGGTTTTATAACATATCACACTAGACAGAAAGTCTAATGTTTTTAGCCACCTAAACACAATAAAACAACGTACATTCTTGCTCTATAAGTTCTGTTTTTATTGTTCCCCAATTAACTTTTTCACCTTTGATAGGATTTTATTTTCCCATTCATTATAGATATGGAGGAGACATTAACTGAATATAAAACTTTCCTGTCTGATATTGGTGTAGAACTATATCAACCAAGGGAAAATTCAGATTCCTTTGTACCACAAGAAATCAAAACGGAATATGAGAAAGCTTTAGAGCGTTTGGCTGTTATTTTACCATTTGAGGAATCCATAGAAGTAAGTGGGGTAAATGAGTTACTTTGTCAAGGCCTGTTAAGGAAACTGTTTATAAACCTTAAATGCATGTGTAAGCTATGCGAAGATTCTCCACACAATACTTTATTGGTGAAATATTTCTTGTTTTATCCCATCAGGGTGCTCACTAACCAGTAAGTGGCAAGAATGTTTCTAGGCCATCGGTAGTAGTGTGCAGATTTGGTGCTATATTGTAGATTTACGCCTATACATTTCTGATATGTTTTGTGCTATAAACTATAAGAGTAGCCCATTTCTTTACCGTTTACACTCATGTTATAATCACAAATTTTTAAAGCAAAATTTCGTTGGAAGACGATAAGATGAAGTTGATCAAATAGTGGACATTGAAAGTACTTAATGTTATCAGGCTGCAACCTTGAACGTCCTTATGACCTTATTGATAGAAGTAGTCATCATATGTCATGGTTAACATAGAGCCTGTGATAAGTGTAATTTAACCGATATTATCACTCTTCATATTAGGATAGGGGAAGAATATTAACAAGCTTAAAATCAAATGAGCTGGGATATTAGTACTAATGTTAGTTTAAAAAAACATGAGAATTAATTTTAGTGATTATGGAGGAATCAATACCTTTGTGCCACTATGATCGATTTAATAACATAAAAAGAAGGGGAAGTAAATTAATTAAGAAAAGTGACGTTTATTCATGAGAATTGAGCACAATTGCTAGAAACATCTAACCTACCTATCTACTCTATACAACGTCTGACATTACAGCTTTAATCTTCAACTGAGAAAAGTTCAAAATGAGCTCAATGTATTAGACGAATAAAACGAGGGAAAATTATACAATCCGGGAACAGATCAATGTTGACCCATAAAATTAGATTTGAAAAAGTATAAAGATTGTTCTTAGGATGTTTAATTCAAGCTCTAAGGTCACAGGTCTAAATCTCGCTCGACCTACTTCCATTTAAGAAACCAGTAAATTTAAACCAAGTACACAAATGTATTCCATTAATTTCGAGTCATAAGACCTCAAATTTCTAACTGCTGCTACTATCTCTCTCTTCACCCTGACCAAAGCGCTTGCTGTTCCATAACACTCGTCCGAATTAATGAATCAGAACATGTCTACTTATTCAATCAATCAACAGTTTAGAGTTGAGTGGATTTGTTATATTATCCTCATGTTTTAAACGATAGAGTTGACGTAGAGGTTGCGTGCATTAAAATATTCATTGTTGTTGCTATTTTTGGTGGTAATGTCTTTTCAAGGTATTCTCATATATTAGAAGTGATTTTTTACTACGCTTATTTTATTTAAGGAATCTACTGACAAGTCAGAAGCGGAATCTGTTTCCAGTTGGAATACGTATATTGATTGGGCCGTTCATTGTGCAAAACGAAAAAAGCCTAAAACATCTAAAAATACTGATAGTAAGAATAATGAGAATACTTCTAACAATTTTGTTGTATCACCTAATGAGTTATGCTGTCTTTTCGAGCGTGCTATTACAGCACATTGTTTAGATACATCTTTTTGGATACGTTATGCAGACTATGTGGTAAGTTGTTTATTATTTCAAATGAATACCAGCAGTATTTGTTTTTTTACAGTTTAGTGTTTCACCAGTACAACCTTCTAGTAATAATCAAAATAATGTTGTATACAAACTTGAAAAAAGTAACTAGAAAAACAATAAGTTGGAACTATCATATTCAGTATGTTTTGAACTACCATTCGATCTGTATATCGTATATTGCTTTTAATTAATTGAATGAGAATGAGTGGTTCGATTGTTAGTGGTTTCTGTTTACTTGAAAACAAATAGTTGATCGAGTGAAAAACAAAACGTTTCTACATTGTCTCTCTTGTTTTGTGTGGATACTAGGGTTTTGAATACGTTTTTCCTTTTATATGTCATGATTGTTTGTTGTTATTTACCAGACAACCGTAACCCAATTGAATTGGATCATTCAGTAGACATTAATAACCATTAAACATGAATATATGCTATCATGGAATATTCTTTATCTCAGGAATAATTATCACGGAAAATATACATTGAAATGTTGTCTTATTTTAAACGAAAAATACTCATGTTTATAAGGTAATTCGGCATCAGTTCGGTTTAGCGAACATCTAAAGTGTAGTTATATCGTGAATTAGATCACTCTTTTTATAGCAGCTTATTTTAAATATTAACAGAACATTGTATTCTTTGTAGCGAATTGTTTATTCTCTTCCTCTGTGGCATTATTACTCAAACCGAAATCAGTGAGGCGGGTTTCAGACCTGTGATCTGTTAATTTAAAGTGGAGTATTTTTATCATTAAGACATCGATTTACGTATTCGTCGACCATAACTTGCAAATCAACGAACAATCGTTGTACCGTTTGATACTGTACGAAACATTAGTACCGTCTCTCGTTGAGTATGAGATTGGAATTCTTGTTCGGAGTCACATTATAAGAATAGGAACTTATCTGTTCTAGTTTTAATGTGGCTTAAATGAACTCCAAAATACAAAAAAAACTTGTACTAAGTTGATTAGTGGGAACAGTTTAAAGTATAACTGATAATTGTAGTAAGAACGTCAAATTCAGTAAAAATTCATGTATTGTTTTTTTTAAATAAAACTAGTATAGCTAAAAATAAAGGAAGTGAATTCGTCGAAGTTGTAAAAAGGATTTTACAGGGTACAGATACATGAATATCGTGGTTTTTATTTACTATGAAAAAGACTGTATATTTATCGCTTGTCGTCTGAAGACTCTGAACAGGTTAACTAATAGTGGTTACTGGTTGTACAGTTTTAGTTATTCTTCTGTTCATTCAAAAATTTCAGTAAATTGTTCACTGCAAATACCTGTCATCAACTGTAAGTTCGTTAATAATTAAAAAACGATGGACATGTTTCATTTAAGTGTCGGACTTCTCATGCACCCACAACCTCACTTTGGCTCTAGACATCAACCTTCAGGTTTTGTGGCAATTGCGGTATCTTAAGTTAACAGCCATAATCCCGTGATCCACTTGTCATGGTGTTTAAAAATCGTTTGCTGATTTCATCGGTGAATCATCCGCAAAGCTAGTCAAATTAGGTTAAATTTACTTCATAAGTCAGCCGCTCACGGGTAATCTTTGCGAATTAAAGTTTGGAATGACGCATATTGTTACATATTCTTTTCGAGCTTTTTCTAAGAATTCTGCTATCTTTAGCCCCTAGACAACAGAAATCTCGTAATTGCCAAAAAACTTGGATATAAATGTTGTAGGCTCCGTGATTTCAGTCACTTGTGTTTTTCAGGAATCGACCTTTACCAGAAGATTCGCTTGTGGACTTAGGATATGAAAATGATATAGCTCTGCTAGGTAAAAATACTGACAAAATACAGTCTTTTAACTTCTTTCCGTAATAAAATAATAAAATAATCTCACCGTGGATTCAGAAAACTCGGTTAAGTTTCGTCAACTTGAGTTGCTTGAAGTGTCGGTGAGATGTCAACCAAGAGATAAGTTCACTAAGTAGTAGTATGCTTTGTTTTATTTTATGACTGAAACAGTTTTCAAAATACAGTATATTAATAGGCTACTAGTACTTGATAATAGGTGTTTTCAAAACATTGTTCATGTATGCTGCGATCACTTATTGAGCAATGTTGAATTTAGGTGCAGGGTATTAGATGAAAATGGCAAATCAGTTAATGAGGTATTGAAACTTAAACAGCTACGATGGTTGAGATATTTGTTACGTATGTTGAACTACCGTCTAACTCGACGGGCGCTTTTGTTTGGTGTAGAAGTGAACTGGAAGAAAGCTAGTGGCAACCAAATCAAGACATGGAATCAGTCCATCAGATTACTGATCACTGAAATTCACCAGTAGGTCGGTAGGTCCAGGCTAAACTACCTGGGGTGTGCTTCATTACCAATTAATAGTTAGAGACTTTGGGCGACACGACATTGTTTGAAGTGGCACAGGTGCACTCATTTTTTGTCTTCACTAGATCCTGCGTTTTAAAATTATTTTACCTTTTTTCGCATTCCACTGGTCCATATTTTCCCCTCGAATCATATTTTCTATACCTAATCTTTTCTGCTACAATTGATACTGTTACTAATTCTACTACTCTGGAAATTTAAACGAACATTAACATATATTTACAGCTCCGTACAGTCAGTCCTCTTGAAAAGCTTTTGTAGCGTAAAGAAACCTCTGTTTTGGGATAGAGTGAACCCATTTTATTTCCTCTACTATTATTCTACGAATACTCAATAGTTTTATAAATTCGATCTTATGTGAGACGCCTATTGCGTAATTCAGTTTGCTAGTAAATAAAGACCATGATTACTTTCAACAACATCTGATACACTTTCGACGTAATTATGCTCTTATATTTCCAGGAATCTCAGCTAGAAACGGATGTTCTGCGTTTGCAAAAGTTATTGTCTCGATCAGTTCGTAATTGTCCTTGGTGTGTCGAGTTATGGCAGCGTTATGCATTAGTCACTGAAGCTGTGATTCTTGAAAATATTTCATTCAAATCAAATACCAATGGAACACAACAGGAATCTGTTTCCAATGAGTCTGATCTATTTAAAGAGGTTGATGGTATGCTACTTTAAAAAATTGTTTTGTAGTTATTTTAGTCATATTACAGTTATGTATAACGCCTAATGATGATATATAGGTTAATATATGGGAATTAGTGAAATACACTAAGTATTGTCTGAAGTCTTAGCGATGTTAATTGTCACTGGTAACTAAATTAAGCTGATTGATTGTAAAATTCCGAATATCACAATCGACTGTCGACTATGCAGTGAGGTTCAAGAAGAAAAAAGATCAGTATTTTTTTTACCTTATAAATTTCTTATGTGTTTTCGTAAGTAATTCACTGTTCACTTGTACTGTCCATTGTCTTTTGACATACTTTTCTATGTAAGTCGAAGTAAACAAACAATTTCACACCTCGTATGTAATTGATTTCGATTAAGTTGGTTTCTTTGAACTTAATCACTTGATTTCAAAGCCTTTGTTATCATACATTCAAGATAGAATCTACTCTTTAAACTTGATTAATAATGCTGATTGAGTTTGTTTTGGTTATGATGACTATAATAAAATATCTTCTATAGTTTTATTATTCCATTGAATTTATGTGATTAGCCACTAATTTACATGATATTTTAAATCGTTCAAAATCCATTTAACTGAATAAGGTAATTGTAAACATGAAAAGTTAAATTTTTAAATATTTTCACTGATGATTATGTTGATGTTTATCAAAAATAAGAAAATTTCAATTCGCATACTAATTTTCATCACGAACAAATATCAATTGATATCTTCTAGTTAATATTGCCCTGGTACGACCGCGGGTGGAGAAAGTCAGCTCCCCCTCCTCGAAATGCTCTTACATGGCCACGTGTTGTATACAGCCACTTCCACGGAATGTTCTACTTACTACCTTCTCGCGGTAGAGATTTTGTTTACGAAAGCAAGAGGACGAAAAGCGAAAACCCGGCGCTTTAACTGGGTTGATGAATATAGACGATCCACCTAGGGGAGTTGGAAAACCCTTATTCCAAACCAATAGTGAACGTGGGCTCCAGGATCCTGAGGGAACGAATGGCGTATGAACTTGCTGTTGGTCACCGACTACCATGAAACTGCGTCTCCACTACCTTTTGGATTAGACCTTTAGGTCAAAGGCTCTGGGTGTGGCCTTCGAAGAAAACCACCTGCTTCGGTTTGAGCGCCTGGGCAATATTCCGGCCCTCATCCAAATTAAATGACAAAGTGTGACGCATATGTATTTGGTGCCTCCTTGTGCCAATGTTTATGTGCTTAAATAAATAAGTAAATAAACATCAAATACATCTTTTATACGTGTTTGTTTACCTGTTCTTTGTTATGAATCCATTACAGGTATATATGAAACAGCTCTAGCAGCTGGTTTCACTAATCCAGATGATGTATTGAAAATTTGGCGTAGTTATTGTGATCATCATTTGCGTAGACTTCTTTTATTAGATAAGAGTTCTTTATCTTGGGGTAAGTTCTAGAACTAATCCCATTCATTTTCTTATTATTCTACCTCATTATATTGGATTTTAATTTTGGTGTCTATTTACATATAACTATGTTATAATTGCCTGGAGGTAACTGACACTGAACCTAGGTTTTGCGGATGGTTGGCACGATTCAACAAGACGAATTGAAAAGATTCAAGGAACTGACGTTAGATCCGTTACCTCAGAGATTTTTGAACTGCAAGCAATGTAGAAATAATCAAGTCCTACCGATTTGCACTAAGGGCTGAATATTATGACTGGTTACTACGAAGTGATTAGTTAATGTATAGATATTGATTGCTTACAATCTTGAGTTTATGTAATTCGTAAAGCAGTTGGTTCAATATTGACCATCAATGAAGCCGCTTTAATTTTGTTCTGACTTCAGTATTTGGAAACTTATTCAGAAGCTTCTGATTATGAGACACTGTTAATTGACCTTAATATTAAAACACTGCTTACACATAAGTTAGATAAGCTTCATTATATAATTTAAATGTTGGTTAAATAGATATTATGAAATCTGTCACAATATTCACACTTTCATGGAGAACTTATAATGAAACAATAATACTTAAAATACCAGGGTATAATAAAGCAAGGACGGTGGATAAAAAGGAAAAAAACCCTGAAATGTCGTTTTTACTCAACGTTAATTCACTTTTATCGTGTCTATGACTAGTCATTCTCAACAGAGCGCAGCAACCTGTAACTAACCATAATTAACTCATATCTCAACCACTAATAAGATATTCTTAATGAATTTCTTTTTACTATGACATAAACTGAAATATTCTTTCTTTATAACCTATTTCTTCTATTTTTAGAATATCGACTGTCATTACTTCGAGCAACATTTGGTCGAGCTATAGAATATTGTTTTGAATGTAAGTTCATTCTGAAAATGACTATAAACATGCATTTAATTGCTTTTTAATGATTTAATACTATAATAACAATTTTCATATTTGAAAGCTCCAATCACAGGGAAAAATAATATCCATATAAATAAATATTCTATATATCTACTATTCAAAATGAATTCAATATGTTGTGAACAGCTATGATGTATGTAATCAGTCAGTGTTGGAAAATGCCGTATTGGGGGAAAACTTAATCCGAATCAATAAAAAAAACAGGACATGAAAATATGAATCTAGTTCCTTAAGACTTCCGAATTTCATAGTTAATCCGCAAAAACATCTCAAACTGCACTATAATTACCTTGTTTTCTTTCACTGTTATTATCAGTTTTTACAGCTGAGAAATTTCAGTGTCCATGATGTGGAATTTCTCAAATACAACTTGTGAGTACGGCAACCAATGTTGATTTAAGATGATTGTAAGGTCAACTTTCAACACATTTTCGTTACATTACTTTATGAACTTTCAGTGGATTTTCACTGTGATTTGTGTTTAGTGATAAACACCCAGTTCATTAATTCTAGTCATTGTGACAGTCATCACTTACAAAACTATGATTCAGAAACCGAGCTTCACTCTCTATAGTCAGTGTGGCGCAAGGAAGAACAGAAAAGTAGTTTTGTTCACTATACTCAAATCTGGATTGCGAATATATTAGTTTAATATATCGATTATCTCCCAAACCGGTTGGTTAAAAAGTGATAAAAGATATTACTAGTTTGTATTCTTGATTGTTGACCTATTGAATCAGTGTGTAGAACTGAATAGTAGCATTATCCTACAGAACACCAAAGTCTAGATTAGGATGATTATTGTACGATGACGTTGTTTAGAAGCACTAACTACTATTCAGTTGCTGAGTATTATGATGACCAATATAATACATCAATGATATCAATTTTGTAAAGCAAACTTAATTATTTAATGCCAGCAATCACGAGATCTGTGTTCAACTCCTTCTTTCAGTTTCATTCAATGTAACATACACAGTGATTACTATACCGCATGGAGTTTTTTTAACTTTAGCAGTTATATTGCAAACGTAATCTCTCTATATACTTATAGTTTTTTTCTCGCAAACAGACTTCAAACTGAAGCGACATTCAAGACCAAGAAGCATCAGACTACTTTTTTTATCCCAGCATGGGAATTTTCAGCAGTACGCTTACATAACTCCTCCAGAGGTTGGGCCTAGGGTCTCCAAGCCTCCAGCTGCGAAATTCATATCTCAATAATTTCGTTTGGATTGAGCATAATAAATATTACTACATTAGTTATTGTTTCCTGATTAATTTATATTTTCAGTTTCACATACTTGAGGTATCTTCAATAATGTTATATTTTTCATTTATAGTATTGCACTCTCAATCAAATGTTGATTGGTCACTTTTAAATTATTATGCATTTGTTGAAGTGAGTTTCTTTTACATTCTGAATGAACTATGTACTTCTTATTTCTACATGATTTTGTGGGAAGAAAGCAAATTAGATAAAATTCCTTCAGATTTCTACCTCAATTTTTAGTAGTCGAGATTGTAGTAATACTCAACTAATAAGGTTATGGATTATACATTTCTCACTTAATGAGTTTTAAAATGTGAATTTAGGTTAGAACATTCATCGAGAATCTGATGTTTAAAACTCTTCCTTTATTTAAAGTTAGTGCATCGGTCAAGTCTTTAAAATGCCTAAAGTATTTGATAGATGATAAAAACTGTAGATGATTGTACTTCAGTATCGTGGTTGAATACTAGAACTAGATCAAATCAGTGTGTTTAAATCTCATCATACCAACTGTCATTCGTAAGAAATTAAAATAACAGAATATCAAGCCAGTGAAGATACAGTAACAAACACAAGCTGCAGTACACTGTTAAGGATTCATAAAGATAAATGGCGATTCATTAGTTTTAAGTGTAAAATGGGATGATAATAAACCAAGAAATAAGACTTTCAAGTTAAAAAGTACTCATACAAAAATTCAGGTTAATTAATGAGTTAACAGAGTGTATTTAACACTATGAACAATCCAAGAGAATTCGATGTCTCATCGTTTCCACTGTGTATCTGAATACGTTTTCGTGAATTCATCCATTGTAGTTGGGTGCAAATAACTTTTGAGTTCTAAGCAGTCCTCACAGTAGTTGTTTTATTTTTTGATAGTTAGAGAGTTGTTAACTATTATTTTAATGATTCCTACTTTATGGGAACATCAATGCTTTTGTGCACTTCAATCGATCCACAACATTGTGCCACCATCTTTAGTGAGTAATTGCATCGCCCGATACGGTTTAGCCCCACTGTCTACAAATGCTTACTAGAACTCTGAAGGTTGTGAATGTTGAGTACAAGATAATTTTCGGTATCGGGTTGAGGAGATGGTTATATATACCATAGTAACCAATATAAATAGGTGTGAATTACGTTAGATCACCATAGTGCGCAGATTATAACACTGTAAAGGTGTGAAAAATTGCAATAAAGACTTATTGTAACTACATCAACAGTTTATGGTAATACTGATTCGGATTAATAATGACAGTTTTTAGTGACCCTGTATCTGACTCAAATGAAGTTGTGTGCTGATTGTTATCAAAATATACATGCCACCAATTTTCGTATAATTTTATTGACTTAATTCACGTTAAAGAATAATGGGATAAAATAAGCCAAATGCGAGAATAAACTGTGAACATGTATATTTCATACAGTATTTGATTCAGACAGACAATCAGGGAAACGAAATGAAGGGAGCGAAGTGAAAGGAAATGGCGCGCAGCGGAGTTGGCGAGTGAGCCATTTCGTTTTGTTCAGGCGTGATTCGGTATTTTTCATCAGACCACAAATCAGTCATGGATACGTAATGAATAAGGCAAGCAATCAACTTACATACGAGCATATAAAAACAATCGGGTTTAATAAGCGAACAAGTGGCAGGGTCTAAATGTGGCTTGAGAACAGTGATTAAATTGGTCTGTCCAGGAGCTAGAGTAACCTACATGGGCTTGACATAGTACCAACCGCCACAAGTTTTTTAAATCAGTGATCGTACTAAGCTACGAAAATTGGGACCTCAACCTGTTAAATCTCTTTATGTCCATAGAATTTTCCACAGACTTACATCAACTACTAACTATTGTGAACAAGACAAAAGCAGTAATTCATTGCAGCAAAACAGTAACAAGAAGTTGATTATAACGTGACTGCATACTAAAACAGACAGTAGTTGAGATCAGATCACTCGGTTTCTAAGCTTGTGCATGCTAATCTCTCCATTTATTAATTGAATCACATTTGAAAATTTTTATTACTCATTAAGAACATTGTACAGAATGTGTGTTAAAAATTTCATATTTCAGGTTTTCAGTTTAAATGCTGAGCATGTTGCACTTGTTTCTTTTTTATTTTTCAGGCAAAGTATGTGGAAGATAAAGAGCGTGCTCGTTCTCTTTGGACAAGTTTAATAAAGTTACCTGGACATGGGAGTCGAGCTGAATACTGGATACCTTATATTCAATTTGAACAGTTAGTAGTTAGACATTTTATCTATATGTTGTTTAGTTTTATGGAATGCTGCTTTTATTTATATTCTGAACTGACTGAAAATCAATTTAATATTTTTCACTTCATGTGATTATTGATTCTTACTTACTAGGCAAGTAACAAGCCGTTGGTTGTACTCCAAACATTTTAGTATGAAGGCTAATAATATCACTCAAATCTCGATAGATTTGGCGAGGTTCGAATTCCAAATTCATTGTCTGAGAAGATATATTCATTAAATCTTCTACTGTATTTGTGTTTTAAGAGATATTCACCACCTTTACCTGAACAGGACATTTGATTACTAATCCTTTAAGTCATTGATTTTCGTTTTTTATCGAAATCAAGGAAATTTCACCCTACGTACAGCGTTACTTACAGCATTTGAAAAGATATAGTTACTCTCAAAAATGGATTTCTGTAACTCAGCGTAGTTCGTGTATGTAAGTATATGCAAAGGGTAATCGTGTGGTCCGTGTATCACCTAGTATGCATGTAGACTATGCCTATCCAGGGTAAGTAAAAGCCTCAAATAACCTTTTATTTACTCTCCTTGGTGCTACTCCGACACGTCAAGACCTGCAGGGCAACGGTTCCCCATAAAATCACATCTACGTGGTGGGTTTGTGGTCTTGAAAACATGAGATCCATTCCAGAAGGGCCAAAAAAGACTCTACCAACCGATCTGGCTGGAACACCGTACCACTGAGCTATACGTGCAGCGATTGATCTCCTGTAGGCAGATGTATTTATATAATTGATTGATCACTGGATAGCGACCTATGTCAAGTTCTTCTTAGTGCTGATCGCTTTCTTATGCCCGGCAATGTGATATGACCGTTTTTCAATGAAAAAAATGTTTGTTTATCTTTTTCCTTCTTGATTGCACCATTAACTTTGTAGGACTTGGGGTGATATGAAAAATTTACTTCGAATATGTGCTATGGCTATTAATTCAATTAATTTTGACCAATCAGAATTAGTATTTCAAGTGGTTTTACGTGCAGTTGGTGAAACTGGGGTACCTGTTAAACAATATAGAGATATTATTACAAAAATACATGCACGTCGAGCTTCTTTAATGGAGTCTGTTAAAGATGTTCAGTCGACAAAGTCAGATACTGAGGTAACTGTCCTAATTCCAAGCGAATCATATGTTCCGAATATGCATTATTTTCTTCATTTACCTATCACTATAATCCAGGAATAAATATGGAGGTGGAAATATTTCAGACAGTTATCTATCTTTGTGCTTGAACTCATGTTTATTTCTACAGTTATGGACATTTTTCTACGACGTCTAATTTGTCTACGTGGTTCTCAGTACCTTAAGACGCTACGGAGTAAAGTTTATTTTTCGATTTGTCTGATTCACCATGTTGCATGGTGTTCACCTGGTATTTGTCGGACAATTGGGATACGCGCTCTTAAATAAGTTGTCAAATGACTTGAATTTACTTCTTTATAAAGAGAATTTTCAAGTCAATGAATAAAAACTGCAAATAATAATCCATTTAAATAGTTTTGTATGAATAGTCCATTTAAATTGTTTTTGTATGTCTTGACCAGGGCTTATTAACCAATATTATGTTATTACCTCATACAAGTTCAGTGATTGAGAATGATTAGTATTCTTTTCTATTTTTCCTCTCGTAGATACCAGTTAAATTAATGGAAACCAAATTATCTGGTTCAAGAAAACGAAAACTACCTGATCATCAAAATGATGCTGCCACGTTAAAATCAGCCAAAGTTAGTTTACTGGTTTGTATTTTACAATTTTCCACTATGTTTCTGTAATTTTGTAATCGTATAAAGCAAATTACGACATATTTCTCTTTCATAAGAATAATAGTTATTGTCAATGTACTCGTGCAGCGATTCAACATAGGTGGCTCTGCATTTAGATTTTTTTTCCTAGGACCGAGGAAATTTTATAATAGAAAACTTCAGATCAGTTTCATAGTTGTTTTGATGTTTCTGAAGTTTTAATTATGGGATTCATGTTCATTTGTTGTAATCATTTTTTGTACTCTTGGTGTGACAACTTTAGTACGAACCCCTGTATACACCTTGGTAATAGGTAGATAATTTGAAGTGTTTTTTGACTAATTGGTATTTGCACGTTCTGTAAGAAAATTAGCGATGTTATAGTTGTTTGGAATGGGCGACTATAGACTGTTCCCTTCAAAACCAGTGGAGCAATCGAAAAAAACGAAGAAATCAATTTAGCCATTGGTGAATCACTACAGTTTTTCAACACCGTGCAACTTACCGAATGTAAAATTTCTGTCTTCGTCAGTTATAATTAGGATTAGAAAAAGTGTAACCGCCGGAATAAAATGTATAGGATTTGCTTGCATAATGTGTAAAACTGGGACTGTAAGACTGGATAAGTTGTATTAAAGTCTAGGATTCATTTTCACACCCGATTAATTACGACTCAAGTACAGCAAACGCAATAAGAATACTGTGAGCCTAGTCTTCATCGACTTTTTACCAGATGTTAGAACCCCAATTATCCTTGTTTATTCTCATCGCTAATTGTTTTTAGTGGCCAGAATGCAACATACAATTCCAAGGGTAGTATCATCTTGCAATAGTCTTTCTGTATTGTAGACTTCTAACGGGCAGCACATAGTCTTTTAAGGATTTTTATTCACAAGGTTCCATCTTGATATGGTGTATCCACTAATTCATCTGATTTCATTTCCTTTTTTTCTTTAGGTATCAAAACCTAATCCTACTTCTCATGGGACATTTGTTCCACACGATCCATCGAAAAATGAGTTTACAGTATTTGTAAGTAATCTTGATTATTCAGTCAGTGAGGAACAAATTCGGCATACTTTTGAAAAGGTGAGTTTTTTAAACAAATATTTGTTATTTTCAACCGGTCGTTTGTTAATTTGTATTCACCCATATTCTGAATTGATTGTCAACTGGTAGTATGAAATTTTAAGTTGGATAACACATCGTATTCCGTTTTTCACAGCGAACACTTATCCGCTTGATATTTCTCTGTTCAGTGGTATCGAGTTTCGGTGATCATTGTTTCATCGTTTCTCTACTCGTGAATTAACTATTCCTGATAATCATTACCCTTTATCCGTAAACAACTCACTGAAAGTGTTAAGGTATTTAAAACCAAACTATACACATTTGTCGATTATACGGAAATTATTTCATAGTGACACTATATCACTTTAGTTAACTGTATACCACAAGTTTTTTCCCACATATGCGGTAAACGAGAAGCACTTTTCAGATTTCGAACTTACCATTTGACTTATAAATCAATTTTACTTTCATCATTATTAGCATTGTTAACAACTGGAATAAAAGGACAATGTTTTCATCATTAAAACCGAACTCATAAATCATTTTTTTAATATTGTTAATTACCAAGCGTTGTGCAAAACTATTGAGCATCGTCATTAGAAGGTTTTAGATATAATTTGATGATTCCCAGTGTATTTTTAACATTATGTTCACTGGTCGAGATAGTTAAACTTGTCAAACTCTCTATAAACTAAAATTCACGTCTTTTAATCGTTTACTGGTATGGTGTGTGCTACTGATGTCGATGTATATTAGTAGTATATATCATCAATCGAAAGTGAAATACATGGCTGCAGAGGGTTAAGAAGATTGAAGAAAAGAGAATGATTGGTGTGGAAACGAAGGAACAATGAAGTCTGAGACGATTGACTGATCTTTTTCAAATGAAGTATTTGCTGTATGATTCTCAGATTTTACTAAGAGATTCTGTAATTTTGTGTTCAAATACATTCGATTGTCCTCACTTGTTTTCTCGTTCACTACGCTGGAAATGATTGTTCAATGGTATGGTAGAGAAAATTTGTTATTAAACAGGTTCTTAATATTGATCTTCAGATAGAAAAGTATTTCCGTATGTTATGGAACCTATGGTGAAATACGCTTTACATAACTCCTTCCACCGAAAATTATACAACAGTATCACTATCTATATTCATCTACTAACTGCTTATATTCTTGGATTGTCAGTTTTTGTCTACGTTTCCATAGTGATTTATTCAATGTCTGAGTTTATATATGTATGTTTTACAGTATTCAACGTTTGGTTGATGACGTCATATGGAAGTATGTCTTGGAAATAAATTCAGTCATAGACACCTATTATACCTTTAGCTTAACAATATTTATGGATGAATTTTATGCCCGTGTCATCTGTAGATATTTTCAGATACGTTTATATTGATCTATAGAATCATTGTTTATTCTGTGTACCATTACTTATACTATGAACAGTTGCTAAAATTGAACCATCCAAATACTTGACTACTTTGTTATACTACCACCAAAAGCAGTTAACTCTCTTTTTTATGACAGTGTGGAAATGTGACATCTGTTCGTCTCGTACGTGATTACGCTGGTCGGTCGAAAGGATTCGCCTATGTTGAATTCGAAAATAAAGAGTCTGTGAAAAATGCACTTACACTGGATAGACAAGGGATTACACGTCCGACCTCAGAAAGTGTGCCATGTGACGCTGATAGCCAAAAACAAAAAGAAGAGGATAATGCAACAATTCCAAAACCACCTAATTGTTATGATCGTCCAATGTTTGTATCGATATGTGATCCAAGCAGACTTAAATCATGTGGATTTAAATATACGGTTGGCAAAAAAGAACCTGAAAAGTTATTTGTGCGAAATTTAGATAAAGCTGTAAAAAATGAAGATTTGGAAAAGTTATTCAAGCAGGTTAGTTCAAGCCTACATAAATAGTAATATATATGTATAATTAAACTGATTCAGACAACTATATTTGAACAATGCCCATGGCTAGGTGGAAAATCCCCCTATTCGCAATACCCCACCTACACTTGCTTCGCAAATATATCATGTAGCCTTCTTGCTTCGTGTAATCTGTTCGTCGTTGAAACATCATGTGATTCGTTCGGTACGTCAGTACTACAGAACAATCATTGAATCATACATAGATCATCTAGAATCGTTTACTGAATAAATAAATATTCTGATTTTCATTCTCACCACAGTGTTACTTCTTACTAAATCTAATCTGATCTGCTGTGTCACATGGTTACTACTTTTATGTATGGACTGGGTGAAGCTTGATGATGTTATGTAAAACAATATAAACGTTAAATTAGTTCTCATTGTACTATTCAATCGATCAGCATCGGAGCGACTGTCGCTTTAAAACTGGGCATAATGTTTACTACACAACAAGAGGAGTGAGTGAAGGTCTGGCTCATCTTATTTTAGACACAAATATTTCACTCAATAGAGAAAAGTAGGAAATATAATACCTACATAAAATAAGGAAAATAGATAGCCTCAACTCCCAGCTCTAATGTTTTTATTCTGACAGCAAATTATTGGTTGATTCATAACTGCTTACATGAGGGCTTAGGTGCGCAACATATGTTGATGACACGATATTCTAACATCTTAACTAGTGGACCCTGTTATCATATTACCTTTACGCCTCAGTACAGTCAACACTATGAATTCACATTTATTGATTTTAGTTTACCACTATCCATACAGCTTCTTTAGTTTGATAGGACCTCAAATAACAAGTAAACTTTGACCGCTATGCCAAGTTGGTGGCTACGGTTACGTTTAATGTAACTTCTCTTCACTTAAAGTTTTTCATGTCTAACTGACTGTTCTTAATATCCTTTACTTTTATAGTATGGAAATATTGTGAGTATTCGTCTAGCAACATATCGTAACGGTGTCCCAAAAGGTCATGCCTACATTGAATTCACGAATGCAGATGATGCCAGTAAAGCGTTAGTTGCCACAAATGGCTTAGAATTCAGAAATAAAATATTGTCAGTATCTATTAGTGAACCACCTGTACGTGATGGAAGTGGTCCGCAAGGCTGTAAATCAATTACATCAGAAGAAAAAAAAGTGTTCAAAACCCCCCAAATTATTAATTTGAGTGGTTCTCATCCCATCGGAACTAGTGTGTACGTTCTATTACTTATTTGTGCAATAGCGTTTATTGAATTATGGGATTATTTTTCAAGCGGAAAGGTTCCGACAAAGCATCTGGGCTATACTCTTTTACTCATTAATTTATTATCTTACCGTTGCTTATTTATGTGTATATCCTCATGGTTTGTCCCGTAGTTACTGACAATGAATGTACTCGACAAAACCTTTAGTTTCAGTCTGTCGAATTCATAAAGACACGTTTTGTACCTCAAGTATTGATACTGAATCGGACAAACTACCGACTTCAAACCAATATAGAATCCATTACCATCTGCTACGGTCTGTAACTTCGGCTACTGTAAAAAAAATGCATTTAAGAAAATACTGTATACTAAATCTCTGCCATAGAATATATCAATAAATCAACGGTTACAATCAGAACAGCTATCCATATTGTAATGCGTGGCTTAAAGTTTACGATGTTAACGATTATTCAACTTACTCAAGAGTTTGAACTTTACTCAAACGGATTGATTACAGATAGGCATCATGTCACTTATCCTTAATGAGGTATATTTTATTTTCTTAGTTCTCACCTTAGTGTCTGCTGTTCAGCAGTTTCGCCATAACAGTATGTCAATAAATCTTCCATAGTCTGTAACTGTCATAGGGTTTTCACTATGATTATACATCTGTGTCAGTAACTATTCAACAACTGGCTAATCTTCGTCCTTTACTGAAACAACTAAGAAGCATACTGGTCAGTTCTCTCGGACACTTATTATCATATACATGAGTCCTAATATCTATACCTATCTATCCATATATATGAGACAGTGTTATTGCTAAGTGCATGTAGCATTTCTAAAATATGTCCAATATATGAAATCTGTGAGGCTGATACTAGTTCGTGTTTTATTGCCATAAAATCTTTTACATCAGAAAATTAGTAATCATTTCGAAATTTTGGTTTGGTTTAAATCATGACTCTGTTGCTGGCAATATGTAACAAATAGCTCCACAACCTCATGTGTGACAACTTTTATCCTACCATTACCATTTTGACTACAGAGTTCCTAATACACTGAGTATGTATTTGCTGGTTTTCTTCTCATATGGTTTGTATATTTCATTTGATCTTTGTAGACGGAAATCACGAACGCAGTTAGAATTTTTGCCTCGTGCAGTTCATCGAACACGTGAAATTCAAGATCAAGTGTCAGAAAGTAAGATGGATACTGAAACTATCGACCCTCAATCATCCACCGTTACTGGTAGTAAGGATAATGAGTACTTTCGAAGACTATTGAAGTGACGCACGACCTAACGTTTCTCTTGTAAATTATTGAATATCAATTTTTATAATAAACCCTATGGTCAGTTTATTGGCACCGGTATCCCAAAACCCAGTTCTTTCTAAGCTTCTTGTTAGCTAAACTTTCTGGTTAGTGCTTTCCTAACCTTCCTAATATACTTGATCAACTGAAAATACGGATGAGATTTCTTATCGGTTAAAAATGTGTGTAATGCGAAATGTGGTGTAATTACTTCTACAAAGTTTGACTGCTAATCATAAGGATGTAACACACTGTAATTATAAATTGTAAGCTTGTTCCATTTTAACGGGTGCTTGATCATAAGCTAATGCTCAAAATAAAAGGTACGAGTTCTCCTAACGTGTCACAGACGCATGACATTTAGCCCACAGTACTCAGCCAAGCATCAAACAGAATTTGGACCTCAATTGTCGTTGAAGGCAGTTGGAACGTGGAGTGATGTTTTGTTGTTTACTGCCCCAAGGAATCTTATGTGGCGACTGAGAGCGTTGCTAACATGTAGTTTTCTAATGACTAAACTTTGGCTTCGATCAGAATGCTTGGTTAAAACAAGGACGATATTCAAAGATATTGTTGCAACGAAAGCTCCTACTTTTTTCACATGCTTTTGCTGGAGATTACCTGAACTGTACTAGTCATCTTACACTAATTGAAATATCCTTGTTGGCTAAGTTCTTCTAACATTATCATCGTCGTTAATCTCTCAGGAATTCGTATTTCCGTTTTTAAACAACAACAGTTTATTTAACATAGTCTGTTCTTCCTTAGGATTCTTCCATTTAGAAACACTCGTGTGGACTGTGAAGATCCTGTATACTGAGATTAAATAGGCGTGAATTTTGCATTTTGTGATAGTTTCTTTCACATATATCATTCCATCAAGTGCACAACCACGTTAGCTGAACCCGATACACCGAGAAAAAGCTTCCATTGGTTAGTTCCTACAGAACTTGTCAACTCGCTCTAATCCACGATCTTTCTCAATTTCCTCAAACAGTGCTTCTACATCAACGTAAGGAGACTTTGGATGAAAGTAGGAGAACTCAGGAAAATTTGTTTTCTCATGCTAACGGGAACGTGGCTTTCGTTTGAAGTCGAGTGGCTTCTTCATGTCTGACAAGAAGAAAGAGTGCCATAATGGATGGCCGTATTACAGGATAATCTTGTTTAAGTTGGTTCATTAAATCTATCCCTAAAGGATAGAGACATAATCTCATTTATTATATGATCATTAATTTGTGGATTGAATGCTTACCATTGGGGGCGATTTGATTCGTTACTTTTTGGATAGAGCACTATTACTGGATTATTGGGAACCCTTTTATGTATTTAGCAACTGATTATACAATCTGTCGCTGAATTTTGCGTTCTTATCAGTTGGCCAAAGTTTTATTCTGGCCCAATTTCGGTTTTTATATGTATTCTTGTTCTTAGCACATTTAAACTTTTCTACCTACTTACTACGTTACTATGTTTCACCTTATCGCCTTTTAGTAACGTTAAAATACAGCGCATTATAGAATCATCCCGGTACAGATCTATTAAACCTCATTGGGTTTAGGATTTCACAAGTTCTTTTCTCTTCTCAGTAGCACAAATGATCATTTATACCTCAGTCTACCTATATGTGTTAGTACAATTAGTGTATCGTTCATTTAACTATGAAGACAATAGTCTCTTAAATCGGAATATCGACCTAATTTCAAACCAATCATCTACCAAAGGATCGGGAGGTCAGAACTGGTATATGACACTCGCCACAGCTGTTGCCAATAAAGATGCATATTTACCCGAACTTAGTCGTGCGGCTAGCTACAATACGTTTGAAGATACTGGGGGTCGTATCTCACTTGTAGTATCAGTGAGAAACAATCGGACTATCCGAAGGTATGATTAGAATCCCGTGTTACTACATATATTCAAGTTATAAAACAGTAAGTGCTGTGATAAAGGGTAGTGTTGTAAGTAGTTTCAGTTTTCGGACTTCTTAGAAAACTAGAGTAGCGTTCACTTATGATGTGAAACAAAACAAATTAACGGGGTGTGAATTTGCGACTCTTCGTGTTTCCTTCTGAATTCATGCTTTGTTGAAATTTAAATACGGTTATCATGATGAATAATAAACGGAGTCTAAGGAATAACGTGGAAGCCAAAGCACTACAGGACTGCTTCATTCACTTTAGAAACATAAACAACTGGTATTGTCAATCACAAGTCAAACGACATCTAGAATAGTAATGATAAATTACATATAATATTAAACAGTATGGTCAATAAAATCGGATAAATTAAACCATTGATTGATCAACTGTCAAAACGTTTATGCACATAACTTACAAAAACGACAGATTATGTGACTTGATAAGGAAGTGCATTTGGGATACAATCAGCTGGAGAGTAACGTAGTAGTTTCCAAGGTCGTCTAGTCATCGCGTGCAAAGCAGAACTCTGTTGTGAAGCGTTTCTTCGCACAGCTCGCTCATGAAGAAATGTTCAGGAACGTGGATATGGTAAAAGGGTGGTTGACGCAGCAGCGTAGGTCCTCTCTGTTCAACTGATAGCTGTATCTGCGTCATTACGATTTCTTTGTTTTAGTTCGAACTCATATCCGGTAGCTGCGTAAGTGTCAATGAAAGAATTTGTAAGTATCGGTCTGGATTATCGGGCAGAGTAAGGAAAAGTAATTTGAAGATAAATTGGACCTTTCTGTATTGCGTTCGAAGACCATATTCATCTAACATTGATACCATAATATTGTTCTTTAGTATTCTATCCACTTCGTTAAGGGGACATAGATTAAATTAAAGCATATTTCATGAACGATTGGCGAATTTTTAACCAATCAGCGCTAGTCGATACTTGGAAAAGACTACAATTTCCTCACACAAAAACTATAAATATACTAACGTTTTGTGCTCCTTACTTCCACTTACCCTTGTCATTTGGAATATGATTTCCTTCCTGTTCAACCGTGTTCTGATTCAGGGACTTGTCGAGTGCATTGGTGTCCAAGGATATTAAGTAATAGGAATAGCCGGGTCGTAATAAGAGAATTATAACAGGGTTATTAGATGAATGTAATTTACTTCGTGTAATAACTTATCCACTTCGAAAGTAATTGCGTTGAGTTAAGGCGAGCTCTACTCGTCATCTACAGCATCATTTCTCTGAAGTTCGCTCGTGACACCGATCGATTAATGCTGAATGATATTGGGGGCTGAACTTTACTTCTGGAGCACGCTGCTCGAAACTATTAAAATCGATAAATGTCCAGTCTCTTCTTTCATAGTAAACATTCGACCATTTACAGGATACAAATTGCGTTTTCCCTATCCAGCCATCTCTACACATGATTCCGTTGGAAACAATCCTCACTAATTCCTATAATACGATCAAAATCAAACAAGAAATCACTGCAGCCATGAACCGAAGGCATAGATCAAGGACATCACCGACTGCTGTACAAAACCTAGCTTTTGTCAACAGCAAGGAGCATAGGGTGGCTGTTAGAAAAATGCATCAACTGCATGCCTCCCAAAACGCTGAAAATCAAAGCTGAAGGTATCAGAAAATGCGACTGTTACACCGGTGTGGTGATCAGAATGTGGCCAAATGTCCATCTCATCAATTTAGAGCAACTTTGAATACAGTACATGTTACGGAGCACATTTCATTATCGTTCTAGCGGTCATCGGTTAGGCGTTCATCTCAAATTCAAGTTAGACGTAACGAGCGTTAAGATGCAAAACGTGCCACTATAATATCACCAACAAAAGAGCATGATGGTCTGTGGAGTACTCGAACTGTAACGTACTAGTCTGGACGAAGCTCTCGGACACGATGTGCTAAAATGACGGTAGCTATCACGCAACATAAACCTTCATACTACTGTGAAAATAAGCGTGTCACAAAATCCTCGTTCATTATACCTTCGTAACTATGGGTGTTCATCTTCTTGTCGATAGAAGAAATCAGGTAAGTGATCGAATAAGACTTTATTCAGATCATGGAACATAAGCCCAAGCAACACAAAAAGGGGAAATAAAGCGGACGAAAGGGGAAATAAAGGGGAAATGTCGCTTTTTCGCCTTTACGTCGGTTATTTAGGGGAAATGTCGCTCTTTCCCCCCTACGTCGTGTATTTGGGGGAAATTTGTCTACAGTTCTACGTAACGTACAGTGTTTGAATGAACCGTATCGGGAACTGAAGTTTTCATAAACTTCGACAAATTTAGGCACCGCTTAATAAAAAAACAAAAGTATTGTCATAGAAACAATGTACAAAATACGGAAACAGGGATTCCGTTGATACGCATATAGAGTGACTTCGTTTGTTGTTTAGCTAAAGTGTTCCGACATGCTTTGGAGCCATCACAAAAAACTTACGTGATGCAGATGAGTGACGTGCTCTAAGGATTTCAGGTTCATTGTGACTGATTACCTTCTTAGGCCAATAATATGACTTTTTCTGATGTCAGTGAGAATGTTCGTAGACGTAGGGCCACTGTGAACTTGTCACGTTCCCTTGGTTGTCACAGAACCACTTATAACCGGAGGTGGAATAAAATGAGAGCTGCTTTAATGAAAAAATATCATTTTCTTTCGTTCATTGAGTTTGCTAATGAAAGCACCCTAAAAGGTAACTGAGTTTAACAATGTTGTTTACTTAATTGATAGAAGTAAAGAGAGAAGTCAGTTGTAATGAAAGTACTTCGACTAGTACACCGTCCACTAGCAACATCAATCAAAGGCTTTCACATAATAGTGGTATGAACATTAAATTCGTACGTGAATATCTATCTTATAGGATATACTGAAGTGAACTTGTGCTCTCAAAAGTTCGTGAATCGCAAAGAACTGATGAACGACTTCATGATGTATCTAATGTCAAATACATCTCTGAGCATAAGAGATGCTGATCGGGTTCTGTATGGTCTAAGATTTCTTATCCCGGACATATCGAAAAGCATCAGAGGTGTTCTGAAGACATGTCCAAGTGTTCAACCAAAGTTCATCGGCAGTGAGGTTTACTACCATCTAGGATTGAAAACCAATCTGCTAAGATACGTTGAGCTTTGGTTGTGTACTACTGATTTTGAATCTTTAAAGTTATATGTCAATGTAGATGGACTTTCTATGTCTAGAAGCTCCAATCAACAGTTATGGCCTACACTTGGACGGATCATTGCCCCTCGGCTTAGTGACGTGTTCATGATAGGGATCTACGGAGGGAATAGTAAGCCGGCAGAATTCAACGAATTTTCTGCGGACACAATTTCTGAAATAAAAGAAATGACTGACGTGGGTCTTTTTAGTGTTAAGTTTAATGAATGTATAGCTATTACGTTGGCGGCTGTTATATGTGACGCACCTGCTCGTTCTTCTGTTAGGCACACGGTAAACCACAACGGTAAGGCAGGTTGCGATAGGTGTATTGTAGTTGGGAGACGGCTGGAGGGGAAAACGACCTTTCTAAATGGAGTATATACTTTAAGAACAGATGACACTTTCCGTCGTCAGACTCAATCAATTCACCATCAAGGACATTCTATTATGGAAACGCTTTCGATTGATATGATTTTAACTTTTCCTCTAGATCCTATGCACATGGTGTACCTTGGTGTTACCAAAAAACTAGCTAATTTATGGATAGATTTAGCACGCCGAAGACTGCGGAACTTTAACTCATGTGCAATTCGGGACATAAATAATTTAATATCTGGTTGTGTGGCAAGTACTCCTTCTGACTTTCCCCGTAAATGCCGTACACTAGACTTTGTATCGGCATGGAAAGCTTCTGAATGTAGGTTGTTCCTTCTGTATTTAGGCCCGGTGATTCTTGAAAAGACATTACCTTTTTATCTTAATTTCCGGCGTTTAGCGTTATCCATGTATCTGCTTGCACATCCCAAATTACATAAAACTGTTGTAGAAACCGCCAAAATAGATTTACTAAACTTCCTAGTGACCCTTTTCAATTGTGATAGGTTGTATACTGTGGAGCTGAAAATGTCGTCAGCTATCAATGACTTGACTAAAACGATTAACAACATATCGTCCGCCATTATAGACTTGAATGCTAATGTAAACCAATTGCTTTCAAAGTTTAATGAGCGCGAAAGACCGCATCAATTCGATTGCGGACTGTCAAGTCAGCAGTTCCCTTTGTCATCTGAAGAGGAACTACAGATGCTAGATACTGGTTTGTCGCAGAAAGAAACCAGGGAAAGATTTGTAAGTCATTTACATGAATTTAATAATTTGTTACTATTACAGATGGCAATGGTCACTAGGTTATCAGGTGACGATCCAAAAACGTCCATGCGTTTTGTTCTGTCGCATCTGCTGACACCGGAGTTTGCCAGTAAATTCACGTTACTTGACACCTCTTCAAAACGAGCACTACAGAAATGCACGTTTTACAGCTGCATACGAAGTAACCTATATCTATTACTTAAACTTCAGGTGCCTTAACTCATCGCTTTTTGTCATCCTCTGTCAACGAGAAAGACCTTGGTAAGCTCTACGACATCGCGACACAATGTTACTTTCACGACATCCGAGACAAGATGATAAAACGAAATAGAAGAAAAGAAAATCAGGTATGTACTAATTTAAAGTGATAACCTCTCTACGGCTCTATAGTTACAGTCAACAATACTAACGAACATAACCGTAAGTTCAGCTTCGAGTATTTGGCTGTGCTAAAGCATATCATTGAGATATGGTTGTGACTTTTTTTTTTTAAATTCAGAATTCACAGGACGACTAACTCAATTCTGAATAGTCCGTGCAATTGTTTTGATGTTGTACCTCGATTTCAGTAAACATTATTCTTTCAAACAGCTTACTCTTTTACTTACATGGGAAACTGTTGAAGTGTTGAGAATGTGTGTTTGAGTTTCAGTGAACTTTTGATTAAATGCACATTTCTTATGAATAAATTATAACCTTTTCCTTCTTTTTCAGATAATTTCAAATAACAATGAATTAGCAATTGCATTGGATATGCATAACAATCAATGCTTCAGCTTGTGCTCTACTGTTGTACAATAATACGTTTTTCTTTTTAAATAAAATTTTTGAAATATTTACCGCTTTTCCACTGCATTGCAGATATATTTTGTTCTGTTGTTGAAAATAAAGGTGAACATAGGAGACCTTTGGGGTTCTGTCGATGGATAGAAAATAGGAGGTAATGTGTGTATTTAGGCGAAAAGTAGACAATTAAGCGCATAAGTAGGCAATTCGGCGGATATTTAGGCGAAAATGCGACAATTCGGCGGATATCCGCTGATAAGTCGGTAATTTGTCGACAAAAAGGCGAAAAAGGGGAAAATCCGCATTATTTCCCCCGGACAGGCGAAAAAGGCGACATTCTGATGCGTTTTCCCCTTTATTTCCCCTTTCTTCCCATTTATTTCACCTTTTTGTGTTGTTTGGACGAGTTGGAGCTTGAAGTTGTTCTTTTCAAGCACAAGGTTTTCGGCAATCAACATAAAAATAAGATAAATATAATGCTACACAAAATGATAATTAAACGGATACATGTGTTAGCGGCTAACTCCTTACCAATCAATCTAAGTTGTTACAATACCTCACAACAGTTGATTCTCCGAGCCTGATGACTATAAATTCCAGAAGTTGAGAGAATCTAACTAAAGCTCTTCAGGCCCGATTCCTAGTGAAGACTGTCTTTTTCAGCCTTATAGGCTGTAAATGAGAACTAGATTAGCATTCGACGGCGAAGAAGCTAAATATTGCATACCCTAATGTCCGTCTACCTCGATCAACAAAACACGGTATATGATATATCGAGGGGCAGAAGTTGTAATTTCTGTAATAATTGTACATTTGGTCAACGCCAAGGAGTATGATATTTTTGGAAAAACTTCGAAATAAGACTGATCGTTCATAAATTGTCTGATTCTGATCAAGATTTATCATACTTAAGGATCGACAGGCAGCACTGGTTAGGGAACGGTCATTTCCAAACCGTCACAAATGAGATATATCCAGAACCAAACGATAAGTTGGCAGCTTATTTTATGAGCCTCACACCCATAAGAGTGGTAAACACTTGTAGCTGTATCGTTTTCTAAACAAACAACCTTGTAAGCTGAGCATAAGTTAACTGAGAAAATTCACATTCAACATTTAACACGTAGAGAAGTTCATTCGGTGCAACGTATCTTTCTTTATATGTAATATATTATTCTATTTACAACTTAAATTTGTTTTTCGGAAGTGCTGAGCGTCCTATTGCTGAACGTCTTGATATGACGGGTCAGTATAGACACTGACATGATTCCCATTTAAGATCCTGTAAATTAGGTAATCACTTGATGTCAGATCTGCAATTTTGAGGTTAAGTCTATTATTGTAGTGGCAAGTATAAATGTACTGGCACCAAACTAGGCCATTAATCAACAGACTAAGAGTAAACGACCATAAGAAGATATGGAAGTATATATATCCGGAAATATGCCCTTCAAGGTACCGGGCTGATTAAAGAGAAACTCAGAGCGCTTATTACAGGCAGAATGGAAAGCTTAGAAAAATTTAGAGGTTTCCACACTGTATTCTGAACACAGCTCTTACTTGGATTCAGAAAAACATGCCCAGTACAAAGTGCGAAGTGGCATGATATACTTCTTGACCAAAGCAGCAGCTTAAATACAAAATGATCCGTAATGTCTGTACAAGTTTATGTCTGAGCGCAAATCCAGAAGACAGTGTGTCTGCGACCCTATAATACTTAGCGGTGAATGTATCGACTACCTGAAAATGGTAGAATTGTTCACAGATCACTTTGAAACTCAGATAAAGTAAGAATTTGCAAAGGTGAGGCACCTTTTTACTCTAGAATCAGCTGACGTTCTGGAGAACATCCGCCTAACCCATGGGTTAGTTCTAAAGAGATTAAAATCCCTAAGACCATGAAAACTGAGAAGATTAGATTACAGCAAAAACAATCAGTGGAGACCATCGGTAAACGGTTCTGTGGTATTACCATGCACTCACCTCAGTTTACATAACCTCTAAGACGATAAAAACAAGATACACTCTTCCCAATGTTCACGAAAAGAAATATAAAGTTCATCTGGTTATAGACCGATTGTATTGCTCTCAATACTGTCTGAGACAATAAAATGGTAGACCAATGACTTATTGAGGGAATATATGAAC